CCTGACACCTGTTACTGGGAAGAACTCAAAAGTTCCAATCAGCAGTCATGTGGGGCCATAGTGTGTGCTGCAGCCCAGTGGCATTGCCCTGTCTCCAGCCTGTCACCCCACACTGCTGTAAAACATTTATCTCAGTCTTGCATCTGGACCCTGGCCTAATAAATTCCTCCAAAGGTATGCAGACTACACGGGCTGCCTCTTCAGGGGACATGAGGCCAGAGTAACAGAGAGAGTGGAAAGGGAGCCTGTCATAAATATTGACTCTAGACAGGGACAGAAGACCACTGGAGCTTAAAATTCCAGGCTCAGAGAAAGTTAATGAGCTACTGAAAGGACAAGGTAATACTAGGACAATCAGATCTGAAGTTGGAGGAAAAATTTGAGGATACCCACCGAGCCAGGCAGACTGTGTAGTAGGAAGAGCATTGGCCTTAAAAGCAAAAGCACAGGGGTTTTAGCCATGTTTTCGCCTGAGATGGCTTTGGCTAAGTCACTTCACCTCTCTGAGTCTTTGTTTTATAATGAAGAAAAACTGAGATGATACAATTCAATAACAAAAACAACTTGATTTTTAAAATGGGCAAGTAAATTGAAGAGACATTTATCTAGAGAAGATACGCAGATGACCAGTAAGCACACGAAAACATAGCCCGCATCATTACTCATTAAGGAAATGCAAATCAAAACCACAATGAGATGTCACCTCAAACCCATTAAAATTGCCATTATGAAAACAAAACAGAAAATAACAAGTGTTCATGGGAATGTGGCAAAATGGGAACCTTTCTGTGTTACTGGTGGGAACGCAAAGTGGTGCGGCCACTATGGAAAACAGTATGGTGTTTCTTTAAAAAATTAAACATATGCCTGTAATCCCAGCACTTTGGGAGGCGGAGGCGGGCAGATCACGAGGTCAAGAGATCAAGACCATCCTGGCCAACATGGTGAAACCCAGACTCTACTAAAAAAATACAAAAAATAGCTGGGCATGGTGGCACGCCCTTGTAGTCTAGCTACTCGGGAGGCTGAGGCAGGAGAATAGCTTGAACCCGGGAGGTGGAGGTTGCAGTGAGCCGAGATTGCGCCACTGCACTCCAGCCTGGCAACAGAGGGAGAGACTGTCTCAAAAAAAAAAAAAAATTAAACATATGATCCATCAATTCAAGTTTTGGGCAAATACCCAAATGATTTGAAAACAGACTTGAACAAATATTTGTACATGCATTTCATAGCAGTGTTATTGACTACAACCAAAACGTGGTAGCGACCCATTCCTGGATGGATGAATAAATGTGGTTTATGTCCACAGTGGAATATTATTCACTCTTCAAAAGGAAGGAAATTTGGTCATGTGCTACAACTTGAATGAACATTGAAGATATTTGCTAAGTGAAATAAGCCGTCATAAAAGGACAAATAGTGTAAGATTCCACAGACAGAAGGTGCTTAGAGTAGTTAAATTTGTAGAAACAAAGTAGAAAGGTGGTTGCCAGGGGCTGGGGAGGAAGGAATGGAAAATCATTGTTCATTAGCCACACAGTTTCTTTTGAGAAGATGAAAAAGCTCTGGAGCTGGATGGTGGTGAGGGCTGCCTGACGGTGTGAAGGTCCTTAATGCCACTGAATTATATACTCAAAATGATTAAAATGGTAAATTTTTTGTTATGAATATTTTACCACTATATATATATATATTTTTGAAACAGGGTCTTACTCTGTCGCCCAGGCTGGAGAGCAGCGGCATGATCACGGCTCACTGCAGCCTCCACCTCCCAGGCTAAATCCATCCTCCTGCCTCAGCCTCCTGAGTAGCTGGGACTGCAGGTACACATCACCACACCCTGCTAATGTTTGTATGTTTTGTAGAGACGGGGTTTTGGCATGTTGCCCAGGCTGGTCTCAAACTCCTGGACTCAACCATTCCTTTTGCCTCGGCCTCCTAAAGGGCTGAGATTATAGGCCTGAGCCCCCTGGGTCCAGCCAATTTTTAAAAATTGAAGTGGAGGCTGGGCACGGTGGCTTATGCCTGTAATCCCAGCACTTTGGGAGGCTGAGGCAGGTGGATCACGAGGTCGGGAGTTGAGACCAGCCTGCGACATGGCGAAACCCCGTCTCTACTAAAAGTACAAAAATTAGCCAGGCGAGGCCAGGCGTGGTGGCTCACACCTGTAATCCAAGCACTTTGGAGGCCAAGGCGGGCGGATCACCTGAGGTCGGGAGTTCAAGACCAGTCTGACCAACATGGTGAAACCCCGTCTTAAAAAAAAAAAAAAAATTAGCCAGGCGTGCTGGCGGGTGCCTGTAGTCTCAGCTACTCGGGAGGCTGAGGTGGGAGAATTGCTTGAACCCAGGAGGTGCAGGTTGCAGTGAGCCGAGATCGTGCCACTGCACTCCATCTGGGCAACAAGGGCAAGACTCCATCTCAAAAGTGGAGAGATCAAAGCTTCCTGACCAGATTGCTCAGATGTGCCACACGTAGGTTATTGGCATGCCAAGATATTGATCCCTTCCACTTTTGAATAGATCATGCAGAGCTGAGCGAAGCTGAAATCTTCGGCAGGTCACTTCTAGACTTGAAGAGCTGCTTCTTACTCCAATATGCTATACACATATTGTAATGTTTAAAATGTTTTAACCTCCTTAATTATTAAATATTTATACAGAATAAGTGCATGAAACAAAAATGCGTAGCTCAATAATTCATCTTAAATACCTGTATAACCCTCACTTAGCTCAAGAACTGGAATCTTGCCAGCATACGAGAACTCAGGGTCATGTGTTACCACCTAAGCAGGAATCCCCCAAAGTTCTGCCCTATATTTGGACATTATGTAAATAGAATCCTAGTATGAAAACAAATGGGCCGGGCATGGTGGCTCGTTGTAATCCCAGCACTTTGGGAGGCTGAGGCAGGTGGATCATGAGGTCAGGAATTCAAGAACCAGACTGACCAACATGGTGAAACTCCATCTCTATTAAAAATACAAAAATTAGCCAGGCAAGGTGGTGGATGCCTGTAATCCCAGCTACTCGGGAGGCTGAGGCAGGAGAATCACTTGAGCAGATGTTGCAGTAACTGCAATCATGCCATTGCACTCCAGCCTGGGCAAAAGAATGTGAATCCATCTTT